CTGAACAGCCCCAACTTTCTCAACCTATCTTCATACGGGAGGTGCTCCAGTCCCTTGATCATCCTCGTGGCCCTCCTCTGGACTTGTTCCAACAGTTCCATGTCATTTTTATGTTGAGGACACCAGAACTGCACACAATACTCCAGGTGAGGTCTCACGAGAGCAGAGTAGAGGGGCAGGATCACCTCCTTCGACCTGCTGGTCACGCTCCTTTTGATGCAGCCCAGGATATGGTTGGCTTTCTGGGCTGGAAGCACACACTGAAGCCTGCTCATGCTCATTTTCTCATCGACCAACACCCCCAAGTCCTTCTCCACAGGACTGCTCTGAATCTCTTCTCTGCCCAACCTGTAGCTGTGCCTGGGGTTGCTCCGACCCAGGTGTAGGACCTTGCACTTGGCATGGTTAAACTTCATGAGGTTGGCATCAGCCCACCTCACAAGTGTGTCAAGGTCCCTCTGGATGGCATTCCTTCCCTCCAGGGTATCAACCGAACCACACAGCTTGGTGTCATTGGCAAACTTGCTGAGGGCGCACTCAATCCCACTGTCCATGTCAGTGACGAAGATGTTAAACAAGACCAGTCCCAACACCGATCCCTGAGGGACACCACTCGTTACTGGTCTCCAGCTGGACATTGAGCCATTGACCACAACTGTTTGCATGCGGCCATCCAGCCAATTCTTTATCCACTGAGCGTTCCACCTATGAAACTATCTCTCCAATTTAGAGACAGGGATGTCGTGTGGGACAGTGTCGAACGCTTTGCACAAGTCCAGGTAGATGACATCAACTGCTCTACCCCTGTCCATCAGTTCTGTATCCCCATCATAGAAGGCCACCACGTTGGTCAGGCAGGATTTCCCCTTAGTGAAGCCATGCTGGCTGTCACCAAGCACCTTGTTGTTTTTCATGTGCCTTAGCACGCCTTCCAGGAGAATCTGCTCCAAGATTTTGCCAGGCACAGAGGTGAGACTGACTGGTCTGTAATTCCCTGGGTCATCCATTTTCCCCTTCTTGAAAATGGGGGTTATATTTCCCTTTTTCCAGTCATCAGGAACTTCATCTGACTGCCATGATTTCTCAAATATGATGGCCAGTGGCTTAGCAACTTCATTTGCCAGCTCCTTAAGGACTCCTGGATGGATTTCATCAGGTCCCATGGACTTGTCTATGTTCAGGTTCTTAAGATGGTCTCGAACCAGTTCCTCTCCTACAGTGGGCGCAAGGTCTTCATTCTCACAGTCCCTGCGTCTGCCTTCCAAGACTTGGGTGGTTTGGTCAGAGACTTTGCCAGGATTTTACAGAAGACTGCAAACAGGAGAGGTATGGAAAGGCTGAATGGTGCTCCAGATGCTCCTCGCCTCTTCCAAAAGAAAGAGGAGGCAGTAATAAAACTAGTTGATTTGAAACAAAAAAGGAGGTTTGAGTTTTCTTTAGTTTTGTTCCCCCTCCACACAGACACACGATGTGAACTTTTTACTGCAAAATGCTGTGGGTGTTAAAAAGTTTACAGACATTCAAAGGGAGGCAGGGCAAGATCACAGAAGAAAAAAATTGATTGTTGCTGAACATACAAACACATCTGACCCAGAAAGTCCTGAGAAACAGCTAGTGAAGTGGGACAGCACTTGAACGAGAGAAGGCCTTGCGTGCCTCTCCTCCTGTTACCTTCTTCCCCAGGCATCCAGCTTTGGCCACTGTTGGAGGCAGTATTGCAGATTAGCTGAATGCGTGGGGTCTGATCTAGTACAGCCATTCCTATCTTCTGCCTGATCTCGTGAGCTGTTCTGCAGTCTTTGCATTTCTGTAACTGAGGTTACTTTCATAAGAAACAGTAGTTTGTAGGTTGATTTTTAGATAAGGATATCTTTCCTACCTGAAGGTTTATTGTTTGGGTTGTTTCTTTTCCCAGCAGTTCTGGATGAAAAATGCAAAGATGTGTTTGATTTGGTATTGATATTTCTGTAGATGTCAAAGACTTGCACTGAATGAAACAGATTGCCTTGCATTCTCTTCCTGAGAAAGACAGAATTTCAAGCTGAGAATAAGATGTATAAAATGAGAAATGTTTTGCTTTTGAAGTGATGGTATGTTGAGGTAAATCAGAGGTGCTGATAGAAAGGTTGCTTGTTTTCCTTGTCTTCTGAAAGTTCTGGTTAAGTATCTGGTTAACAATGGCTGGCCACCTTGGTTTAGATCAAAAAAGTGCTTGCAAGCAACTAAATTTTCACTGCTTTTATTTTTATGGTAAATGTGCCATATCTGTGCTCTGTCAATGAAGAAACCAGAGTACAAAGAACAAATTTGTAGGTTCTGATCCTAAAACTGAACTTCTAATCCCCCTTGCATAAGCATATGAATAAAAGTAATGTGCTTTCAGGAAGTACTGGATGCAACACATTCAGGTGCTCAGGAGCTCTGACACCATAAGCCTTTTTTGAGATGCTTAGCTATGATTTAGGAGCAAAACTCCTCATCTAGATTTAAATTTTGGCATAAGCTATTACCAGAGAGGTGGTAGAGCTGGTATCAAAGCAGGAGCAGACAGGAGTGCCATTCAGTAAAAACATTGCTCCATCCACAGTTCTCCAGGATAATCTTGTTGCAGAACCAGAAAAGGTGGAGGAAATTTCATCCAGTCCTGAATAGCTGGTAGCTTGGCTTTCTATCAGCTTGTTGTGGGAAGTACAGGTTCACTCTGCCTCTTCTGAATTAGTCAGATCAGGAATTTCTCAAGTAATGGGTAGATTCTCTAAATTACAGATGTTGCTTTTTTGACTGTGTTCTTTTGTTGTTGTTTGTTTATTGGGGTGGTTTGTTTGTTTGTTTTTCCCTCTGGAAAGAGTGAAGTATATTTAATAATAAAAAATACGTGTTTCCTCCGACAGTTTTGAGATCTTGAGCTGTTAACCGGTTGGAAAGCTGTTTTACTGTGTTGCACTATGCCATCGCAAAAAGCAGAAGCTACTGCCCTGGAGAGTGAGTGCAAAGCAGAAAGAGCTACTCTTTGTGCTTCCCCAAGTTTTTTTTACTAATATACCAAGGAAAGTCTGGTTTAAAGGGGAGTACCCATACATATGACTTTATCTGCTGCTTCTGCTTGTAAGTCAGTGATTATTTTTGTCTTCCTGAAGTTTTGTAATCTGAGGAGTAGCTTCTCTTCACTGAGGTGGGGCTCTGGGGTGCTCACTGCTGTAATGCAGAGGCATTGCTGAGCAAGTTGTCACTCAACCAATTAACAGCTTTGACAAGCTCGGGGAGAGTGGTAGCCTAAGAAAAATAGCCCAGTAGTGGATTAAGGGCTTTAATATTGAAGTTTTTGGAGGGAGTCTAATATTAAACAGGCTCTTTAGAGAGATGTATCAAGGCATTAGAGATGCATATTTGGCTTTTGAACTTTGAATTTGCCAGTGACTTTGTCAGTGGCCTGTGGAAAGTTGCAGAATTTCTACTTGTGCTGGGGGTTTTGTGCATTTTTCTGAAGTCAGATATGAATCGGAAGAGTTTAGGATTTCTAACTGCAATGCCTGCCTATTTTTCTATATTATGCAGATGTATCTAAACTATCTTTGAAGCCTGAGTTCATACTGTTTGAATTTTCCTATCACAAGTCATGTGGGTAAAGTTATAAAATTCTGTTAAATTTGAAATTCAGTCATTAGCTTCTAGCAGTCTCTGAGTAACTCAGTTTTCCAGTACTAAAAGGCAGCAAAAGCTGCACAAAGGGAAGTAAACATAATCAGATAACATATGTACCCTGACAGCTCAATGTGCATTTTCTCCAACATTAATTTGTGCTTCTATATACTGATCTGAAGTCAGAATGCCTCAGGTGTATCTGTGTTGCAGCTGACTTCCCTAAATCTAAAGTGCAGATTCATTTTAACTCACTTTATATTCTTGACTCCATTGTTTCTGGGGAGGAAAAACCAACACTTACTACTTACTTTCAGCTTTTAAATATTTATTTAATTTTACAGTGATGTAAAATTAATTTTAAGGAATATGTACACAATGTTCTGTTAGCTGGGAAACATATATAGGAAGTTTTAAAGCACTTTTGTCTATATATTCCTGTTTGTAACAGTAAGATGCAGAGATCTCTGCTTTTACATGGCTTTGACTTTTCAAAGTGTCTTGATTGACTATGCCAGCACATACCCCCTAGGTAATTTATTTGTATACTTTATAAAGTTTGCAAGAAAATAGCATTTGAAATTTTAAATGCTCATGTAAAAAATACTTTGAGAACACAAAGATTGAGAGGAAGTTTCACTCTGAAAATTGCTGTGTCTTGAATTTGTCTGGGAAACCAAATCATTTCAACAGTTGTGAAATATTTCAGTTGGTGCAGATGCTCATTTCTAGTTAGCAAAGGTCCTGTTTTTCTGTGAAACTAGTACTTTGAGATTGAATTACCTGGTTTGGAGGGTGTTATTTTGCTCAAAAGTTATGTTGAGTTGAACAGCTTTTCACAAAAGACTGTATTAAAGTGGTACTGTACCTAAAACACCAACTTCAGTCATCAGAGGTTATTTTGTTATAATTACACAGACATCTTGAGACAGGTGAGAAGAAAAACCAGTTTGTTTGAGTTGTTTCCAGATGCCCTAAACTACCAGAAGATTTAATTGCTTTATGGGGGCCAGGCTTGTGGAGAGAGCATGTATTTTGTCAGATAAACCTGGGAGAAACAGAGTTCTTACAGCCTATTGATTGAAGCTTCCTATGAATCCAATGGTCCCTAAGAAGGAAGGTGCAGGGAGAAAGGCAGGAGGGAGGTGTAAGATACAGGGAGAAGAGTAAACTCCTGAGCAGGCATGGTAGCTGAAGTGATATAATTAATATGCTGCTGTTTTCTTCAGCAACTGGATCCTGCAGTGTAAACCAGGCACTTTCACCCCCATCCTCAGTTGGATATATTTAATATATTTAATAATATACTTGGAAGCCAGTATATTATTAAAGATAAGCAACTGGTTTAACTTCAGACATTCCCCCCCACTCCCCCCAACCTACTTTCTCATTTGTGTTTGACTTGACAGACAGTCCTTGGACTTTGGTTAACCTTATCCAAACCGAAGTTTGTTTCTAACATACAGCTTGTCAGAACAGACATCTGACATAAATTCTTAAAATACTTTTTCTGTGTACTGTTATGCTTAACACTTTTACAGTCTTATCATAAATTCTTTCTGATGTGAGTGAAGCATAACCTTTACATATCAGAATATATTTCCACAGCTGAAGAAATGTGGAGGCTTGTAATTCCAGTTTAGTCCCAGCAGTCTTTTAATACAGTTTATATTGTGGAGTCACTGTCAAATATTTTCATTTTTATGGTCTGAAGGCTGTGTTGAATGAAGTTTTCTGAAACTGGCCTTTCAGAGAACCTGATGTCCTGTGGTCTGGTGGACCGGTTCTTTTTTATCGAATTCTGGATTGTATCCGACGTGAAGTAATAGACTATAGGGTCAAAACAGCAGTTTGAAACAGCGATGCACAAAGTGATGGGGTACATAGTCCTGACTGCAGTTACCACAGAACAGTTAATCCAGGTCTGTGTTCTCATAAGGGAGTAAAGTATTAAGGTAATGTTATAAGGCACAAAGCAGAAACAGAATATCACCAAATGGACAAAAATCATTTTGAGTACCTTTTTCTTGCTTAATTTATTCCGACTTAATGTAAGGGGTTTATTCAAAGTCCGTAAGACCATAGTAGAGCAGGTCACGTTCAAGATGAGTGGAATGAAAAACCCAACGATTTCAATGAAGATAACAATCCGGGATAGGTAGGTTTTCCACGTGTCCTCCGAGAAGTTTTCAAAACATGTCCTTTGTTCAGTATTATTCCGGCGATTTGTGGACTGGAAAAAGCTCGCTGGTGTGCTGCCTGCTAACACAGTTATCCATACTGCAGCACAGACAATTTTTGCATTCCTTTTGGTTCGGAGAGTCTTGGATTGAAAGGGGTGTACTATAGCTAAAAAGCGATCTACACTTATGCAAGTCAGAAATAAAATGCTCCCATACATATTTGTATAAAAGAGGGTGACAGAAATCTTGCACAGAATGTCTCCAAATGGCCAGTTTCTTGTTACGAAGTAATAAATCCTGAAGGGTAATGTAAACACAAAAAGCAGATCTGATATTGCTAAATTAAGCATGTAAGTTGTAGTTTCATTTCGGACTTTTAACGAACAAGTAAAAATGTAGATGGCAACACAGTTTGCTATGAGGCCAAGAACAAACACCATACTAAAGATACAGCCATATAAAGTATATTTAAAGGAGTCCTCAGTGGAACAGTTAGAGCTTACCATTATAATGGTATATTTCAGATTCCTGTGATTTGGAGGTTTCTCTGTATTTTTATTGCAACTTTTGTAAAATTCCAGAACTTGAAGATATATTTGGGCTGTGTAACTGGCAAGTTTGCGGCACTGTAAATCTTCAGGGAAGAAACACAAGCTCTGTAGCAGGGGAGTACATCTCCAGCAGTGATCACCAGGAGGTCACTCTTCTCTTCCAAGTGCTATTTGTAATCACATAGCCAGTCTTCAAAAGTCAAAAAACGTATAATTTGTGGCTGCCGAGGTCATCCCAGAGCTTCCTTAATTCCATTTTCCCCCTCGATTCAGCGAAGCCGCTGTAAAACTTTCTGCCTTACTTTTGGCTGCAGATCGTGGTAGTGAAGTCTTGTCCATTCAAATTTACTGGGCACGTATGCTTTAGAGAACGATTTCCTGGATGCCGGCAAAGCGTCAGCACTTGCATTTCTCTCTCAGCCTTCTTTCTGAAAAACAAGCTTTCCAGCTCCTGGGAGCTCTTGTCTCCTTGCTCAGCCTGTGGGGCGGGAAGCAAGCTGCTTGCGAGGGCAGAAATGAAATTCCAGAGCGTGTTTGTTCCTGCAGAGCAAGGCTCTTGCTTCCCGACAGCCTCTCGCCTGCCCAGCTCCTTCTGAGGAGGAGAGCAGGGAGCTCAGGCAATTTGTAGCATGACATCACAGGAAGAAGAGGTTGAACTGGCAGGCTGAAGACTGGTTTCAGTTCAGCTTGTTTGCCTTAACTCTAATCTGATAACGTGTCTGCTGGGACTGTACCTTGCAGGCGTGTAACTGGTCACCAGCAGAGCGCTGCAGCTGCAGCCTCCGGTTAGCTCTTTCTATAGTCCCTAAAAGGTCCTTTGCCAGTGTTGCTAGAGTGTGAAAGCTTCATCACAAAATCTTTTTCTGCAGTTATAAGGAGACATTTAAGTGTCTCGATGCCTTAAAATTCCTGTTTATGGTTTGGAGATAATGAGTATTATGGGCTTTTATAGTTGATACTGGATTGAACTAATGTTACTTTTTTTGATAGATATCTTTGCTTGTGATAGATAACATGTTAAATCAGCAGAAATCAGCACAATTCCCTCAATACACCAGTACAAACCTCAGGAGGGACAAAGTAACATTGATAGGTAATTAAATAATTTCACCAAAAAATTGGTAAAAGGGAGAGGCATACAGGTTATTGTGGATTGCTCTTGGATGTTCCTAGGACTGAGGTGTGTGGCTGTAGTAGGAGAAATTTTTAACTTCTGTATTAGAAGGCTTGTCCCAGGCTTTATTTCCAATCAGAAAGATGGTTCTTTTTACAGAAAATATGCTTCAATTTTCTGTATAAATTTTGTGTTACAGAAAGAATTTTCTTCAATATGTAAGCACAGAATTAATATACCAAACTAAATACTGCACTATTCAATTGTTTCTGGTAATATGTAAGAGGCCAGTTGTTGCACAGCCACGAAATACTCCCATTAGTCACTGATTAATGAGACAAAAACATGTTGTAACTAATTAAATTAAGTACATATAAAAAAAAGCAGCTCTTCTTGCCTGTAGGGGCAGATAAGAGATAAATCTCAGTTTAGACAGACTCATCTATTTAACAACAGCTTGGATAGACTCAGTTCTGGCATCAAACCCAGTCTATTTCTAATGTTTAGAATAACAAATCTCTTCATATCTGGCTGGGTGGTATGGTTCTTTTGAACTAGATTTTAATCAGTTGTACCTAAGCAAGGCTCTGGGCAGAACCTTTCTAGTCTGCTGTAGAGGATAGTAAATAACAGCACTTCACAGGGGCTTGGCACGTTTTTTTTTTTTTAATGTAAAGTATGTCAAACAAAATTCAGAAATGTAAAAATGATTCTTGATTATTTTAGTTCAGGTTTTCTTGATAAATTTCTTCTGTGAAACCTTGATTTTGAGGTGAAATCAAGCTTTTTTAATTTAATAGGGTATAACCACAAGAAACCTTCTGAACTATATTTGAAATTCATACTTAACTGTAAAATGTAGTGCATTTCCACTTTTAAGTCGGCAAGAAATGAAAATGTGAGCTTGGCAGAGTCTCGTGTGTGTCCAGCTCAACTTGTGCCTTAGCATAAAGTTGTCTTACCTGGCTTTCCTCACAAAAGCAGTTGTCACATGTTGCTAAATTTTGTGTCTGTTCCCAGCAGGCTTGCTTGGTGAAAGGGCGGTTTTCCTGCAAGAGTCCAGGAGTTCTGCAATGGACCATGGGACCTCTGAGCTCGGTTTTCCTGCTCTGGCTTTGTTTGCGCAGGAAAACTGTGTGGGGCAGGATCAGTTACTGGAATGAAAATCCCTGAAGTACAGAAATCTGACATTACATGTCAAAACCTCAAGCCATAATTCATGCTAAGAGAGAGAAGCTAATGGAAATGTCTCTCTTATTCACTAAATTTGATTTTCTGTTTGGGTGAAGGTGTGGGTGCACAGACACGAGGTGGTCTGTCTTTCTTTAGAGGGGAAAAAACACCTTCAGCATTAGTAACTTAATAAATTCTTACAGTGCTTCCAAAGCCAGGAAATGCACTGTTAAATGAAGGTTGTCAGATGCACAAAATACTGTATGTAACTCCTTTATTCTATAACTAATGTTACTGGTTTTAGAAACATCACTGTATCGTGGTAGTTTTGTCCTCACTTCAGTTACTGTTGCAGTGAAGTCAGCCTTGGCAGGGCAGTATTTTCTTTACCTTAAGTGTTATTTGTCCAGCTGTTTTCATGGGGTATAGCATTTTTCATCTGTTTACTGGAGTTTCTCTTTGAGCATGTGTATGTACAGGAAGGGTTTTATTATGGTTGAGCCGTAGGGCTGAAAGCCAGGAAGTCTGTTTCTGCCTGTGCCACAGATTTGCTCCTCCAGCCCTGGCAAAGTTTTCTATGATTTTTATGCTTTTTTTAGCTTCCCTCTGTGTAAGAGCTCGTTCATTTCTTCACTGGGATGTGAGGCCATCTTAACTGTTAAATATGTTTCGTAGTCCATGGATCATAGAATCATAGAACAGTGTGGGTTGGCAGGCACCTTTGGATAGAGAACTCCTTATTAAATATGCTACTGAGATAATTACAGTAGCTAGTGAATAGCGATAAACTGTAGGAAGGTTAAAATTTGGTATGTTTATGTTAAATCCTGTCAAGCAAAAGGATCTCTTGAGAGACTTGATTCAACACTGTATGTCTACAGGGAAGTAGGTGCCGAGAAAGCAGGGCTGGGAACTTTGACCTTCTCAGCTACCTTTTGGGAGCTGCCTGCTCAGACAGACATAAGTCACTGTAAGACTGCTTCTGGTAAGTGGTTTACTGCCTTCTTAAAATGCAGTGATGGTGTCTACCTACAGAGACAGCGTGAAGTAGTTAGTGCACTGAAAATTCCCTTTTTCCCTCCTTTAAGATTTTCCAGTGTAGTAGGGAAGTCTTTAAATGAGCATTTAAAGACTTATTTTTACCTAGCCAGGCTAATCCTGCATAGTCAGTTAAAGACTCTTCCATGTCCGTATTGTTGGCTTAATGCAAATGGAACTATGCATACAAATTACAAGTAAAAGAAAACTGCAAATGTTTTCTGCTGAAAGTTTGACTGACCTTCTAGAACTGATTTTCCTGATTAGTTTTTATATTAGTAGCCATGTTCTAATACATAACTGCCAAAAATCTTTAAAATATTAAAAAAAGGTAGGAGAAGCTGAAGTATTTGGGCTATGAGTCTGTTAGGTTCATAGAATCATAGAATAGTTAGGGTTGGAAATGACCTTAATATCATCTACTTCCCTTCCCCCCCCCCCCCGCCATGGGCAGGGACACCTCACACTAAACCATCTCACCCAAGGCTTCGTCCAACCTGGCCTTGAACACTGCCAGGGATGGAGCATTCACAACCTCCCTGGGCAACCCATTCCAGTGCCTCACCACCCTAACAGGAAAAAACTTCCTCCTTATATTCAATCTAAAGTTCTTTAAGTTAAAATAATTTTTCTGTGTGTGTAGTTCCTTAAAAGGAGAAAAGGAAGCTCAGAATAAAACAACAATTCTCCATTCATGTACATTTGGAACCTTTCTCTCTTTTCTTTGGAGTTGTTTCCATTTCCTTTATAGGAAATGCAACTGCTCCTCTCCTGCTTGCTGAAAGAGGAAACAATTTCTCTCCTTTTGTATAAATTAAGGCTGCTAGAGTCCTTTTTTTTTTTTTTTCTTTTCCTACTTTTGGATTGTTGGAGAAGAGCGCTTTTCAATCCTGAATGTGTGTATGGTAAAGGTATTTTGTTGTTGCAGTCTCTCTAAGTAACTTGAGAACAGTGAATTGCTTTGGGTCTTTGCTCTTAAAAATGTGTGACGAATATGGCAATCACACTTTAGGAGATGCCACTTCTAGTCAAATTCTAGTTCTGAAACACTTCTTTACAGTATTTGTTGTATGTCTGTCTGTGTGTAAGCGCTTTCTTTGAACCACTTCGGTTAGTTACATGAAGTCCCTTTCTTGCTGTTTCCTATACTGTCCTTTATATACGTCTTTTTATAAAGAGAAGTGAACCACAGAAAACATGTTTTACTTAAGGAATACTGTGCAAAAGCTGATACAGGCAGAAAGAAAAATCAGTATGTGTTGGTTAGTAATTTTTAAGCAGCTAAGAGGCAAATACTCTCTTGCTTTTCTAGCTGGTACCCTCTCCTTTGAAGTGGAAATTTCAGGTCTAAAGTGCTGTGTTCAGTTGTTGCAGTATCCCTTAGTGTGGTATAATCCTTTAGAATACTTGCAAGACTACTTGAGGCTTTCTAAATACCCTATCTTACAGAGGAACTTCTTAAGAGAATGCGAAAATGGGAGAATCTTTAAAAATACTAATGATTTGACATTCTTTTTCTTGTTTCATTTTGATTTTGTGTAGAAGTTTTTCCGGAGCAGGCTTTTAGGAGAAGCTTTCCATGCCCAGTGATGGAGAAAAGTTCCAAAACTGTGTCCTGGCATTTATCATAAAAGTTCTGAAGATACTTTTAGAATATTTCATTCCAGAAAACACTATATGTACCCTCTGCTTTAATTTTGGAGCTTGTTCTTGGCATTATTTGGTTTGTTGTCCACCGTAATTGAGACAGAAATTGAAAATAGAGGATTGAAGTTTTTAGAGCACAATACTGCAAGTTTTAAAGTAATTTTTTTTCATAGCAATAATAGAAGTGGGAAGTGTCTAACAGTAAAAAGAAGCTTTGCTATTTCAAATGTCCGGTTAATGCCAATGAAAATGTTAGGCTTGCCTGGAATATATAAACAGTATCACAGAATATGCAGATTGGTTGTCTGCATTATAAGTGCACATAGGAAGTTACAGCAGTGGTTTAGGCCACTTAAGGATAACTGATAAATATTTTCATGAAGGTTCTTGAGTTGTACTTTTCGCATAACTCACAGAAAGTCCGAGCAGCGACTCATGTTATGTTCTCAAATGTTTTGATGTGCAAAGTAAACTTCCCTGAGAAAGTGCTTATAGAGATATCTAGCGGGAGCAAGCAGTAATTGGGTAAGATATTCTCAACATGTCCATTTTTTATCTGATATTTAAAACATTGGTCCCCACTTCGCTCTAATATACACAGCAAGAACAGTTAAGAAATGCTGTACACTTACCCCTCTCTGCAGCCTCTACTTTAGACTCTTAGTTTTCTGTAGTTACTAACAGTGTGTGTG